GCGGGGCCCCCCCCGGCTTAGCGCCACGATTTCATTAGGGTGTGGAATTACTGCCGGTCCCGAAGGTCCCGAGGATGTCATCCAATATCCTAAATGCCGGTGCGGCCATGGCGGGGCCAGCTCCCCATCAGCCCCCTAATACCGACTAATCTTTCAGAAAAAAATACCTTAATCTGAGGCCGTATCCGCAGATGATTGTGGCGTGGCCGCCCCTAATCCGCAGGCACGTTCGCAGGTGCTGGCAGATCCCCCCTGTATCGGATATTAAAGCGTGTTTGCAGAGGGGCTTAGCTGCCATCAGAGCATTAATCACCGTGTCCGGCCCTGGCAGGGTGCCCACCCGGCAGGTGTCCGGGTCCACAGGGCCCGGCAGTGCCAGCCTCGGCATCCCCTCCCCACCGCGGATGCACCGAGCTGGCTCTGCTCTGCTCCGTGGCACCCAAGAAGCCCCCGGGCTCTGCGTTGAGGTGCTTCCCCTCCCCTGGGGGGGAAGCTGGGCACCCTTTGGCAGGGGAGGTAGAAAGCCACGCACCCCTCGCTGTCCCGTCTGCCGGCGGGGGCCCTGCCGCATCCCGCGGCACGGGCAGGCAGCTACGGCTCGTGCTCCTCACCCAGGCACCGACAGCCACAGGGCTGCGGGTCAGGAGATGTGGCAGCCCCTGCATGAGGACGCTGTATGAGCTACGTGGAGCTGAGCTGCTGCAGACAAAGCCGAACTGGGTGCCAACCACAACGTGGCTGTGCCAGATGCCATCATCTTCCTGACTGGAGGCGGAAAGTGCTCGCCCCCAAACACGAGCTGGGTCGGGTGCTGCCATCCGAGTCACAAGGGAATGACGCTCCCCCAAAAGCGCGTGAGGGAGCAGGCAGTAGCAGTGAGGGCAGGCAAAGGGAGGTTTTGGCAGGAGCAGGATGCGGGATGCAGAGGGAGAGGGAAGATTCACAGCTCTCTGCAGTGTCTTTTAGATGCCAGGTCGGCATTCTGCATAACAACAGACGTCTCCCATCAGGAAGGAAGAAGGTTGCAAACACACAATGTTATTTATTTCCAGAATAAAAGGACAGCAGCTTCGCAGGAGAACGGGAACGGTGGGAGCTAATGCCCCTCTCTGTGTTGGGGTGGTGAGAGTCCACAGCTGTCCCCTCTTCTGTTGTGCAGTTGCAGGATTTTTAATCCACGATTCATTTCAGGAACGTTAAGGAGTGGGAAGCAAAGGACGAGGCCTGAGGAATGCAGCAGCCTTCCCGGTAGCAGCAGCAGGTACAAACAGATGGTAGAAGATAAATCTGCTCCAAATTAACGACTCCTCGGGAGGGCGAAAGCCTCCAGCATGAGGGCTGCAGTTCACAGGGACGCGTGCGATTATAGTTTCCCAAGGTCCCCTTCAAGGGTCCGCACCATTACATACAGTTCAGCCAGGCCAACCACTGAGGCCACAATTACCGCTGACAGGACACGCTGGGGACACAAAAAGAGAGATAAGTGATGCTGCACGTGCGGTCGAGCTGCCGCTCCTGCCTGGCCAGCCCAGAGCGTGCCACAAGTGTGCTCCAAGGCTGCAGGCTCACTCACCGCTGCGGTCTCCACGAAGACGTACTGGCTGCCCAGGTACGTGCAGGCGAAGGCAGCCGCCACAGTGACAATGAAGTTGAATATGGTGATGACAACGGCTTTAACAGAGCGAACTGGAGAGAAGGGGAAAGATGATTGTGCTTTTAGGTAAGGCTTGGAGAGTAGGGCTGGGGACAAGCTGTAATCCTGTGGCTGCCTCAGCTGGGCTACAGGAATACTTGAGGATTCACATGCGTTATGCCTCCAAAAATATTTATAAGAAGGACCAACAGGCTGCTCCTTTACTCGAGGAACACTTTTGTGCATTAAAACCTTCCAGTGAGATATTTGGAGAGGGAAGGGCTGCCTAATGTCAACAGCTAGCGATGTGATGGTTCCTGTGACTGACCTGTAAGTACGCACTGCCAGGCATCAGCAGGACAGGCAGCCACTCACCTTGCCTCCCAAATTCAGCCAACGTCCCATTCATCTCCTAAAAGAAGGGATTAAAACAACTTGTGATTGGTTGTATTTTAATATTAACTGCATAATAAAAGCAATGCCAATGCCCTATCTTGTCCCCAAGACTAAGAAGTTCTGAGGGGGGGGCCCTGGCAGTGGTCGGGTGGGCTGCGGGCGTTTCTCTGGGTTTTTGCTTGTGTTCTGATTCAAGGATGTTGAGAGGGGATCATTTCTTATCAAAGCACTTCCCAGAGTGTGAGTGTTTTCTTGCATGTGGGTTCTCTGCTGCAGGTTTGTCTTTAGTAGAGACACTAAAGGGTCTCACCTTGTCCTCCGTGTTCAGGCAGCTGGCAAGAACTAAATGTTGTAAAGCTCTGCAGGCTCTTTGTCAAACTGCACGTCGTTACACAATTTCAAACACCAGATACTAGGCAGGGGGAGGCAGGGAAGAACGTGATGAGCACACAGATACGGGAATACTCCTCTACTTCTCCA